GAGACGCGCTCCGGGCAGGCATTCCACTATCCGGCTGGGAAGAGGAGGACATGTCAACCGGTCGTGGAGGACCCATTGGTTCAGAAGGAGGGGATGACCGAGGTGAGCGGTCAGTCCGGGCCCTTGACTTTTCCCTCTGCGGGGAAGGATCTCTGCGAGAAGACTTGTCTCTCTTCCGGCGAACCAAGTTCTTAATTGGCTCGTTACTAAAATCATCTCGGGGAGGACGAGGTGAATCACGGCGAGGAGATTGACCCCTCCGAGGAGAACGTGAGTCGCGGCGATCGCGACGGGGAGTTAGTCTGAAGGAAGCAACAGATCGGGCTCCCTCGGTACTGCCATCATCGACCAGCAAGGTTCTACTATAGTCCTTCTTATCTATAGAAGTCGCGAGAAACTTTTTCTTCTCCTCGCAAGCCTCAGCCATCGGCTTGGAAAGCAACTTACGCTTGGCCGCAAGGGCCCGAGATGACATTCCCTGAGTTGAGGGAGGGGGAGGAATTTGGTGAAGATGACCAGGCGGACTCATCCTGAGTCTGTGGTTAGCCTCTATGAATCGTTCGAGAGTGAAGGAGTTCCAAAGGGTTTCCCCTTCAAGAATTATTTTGAAGAATTCGATGAACTCTTCAGATGGGAGATTAGAAGCGATGAAAGCTGCGAAATGAAACAACGATGTTAGTTAATAAAGATAAAGAAACAACCGGGAAAGGTACGGGCGACCTAATCTCTACCGGGTTTTGCCGACCACTTCGAAGGGAGGAAATCTGCAAGATTTCCAATCGAAGCGGGAGTTTTCTTAATCAAGAACCAAGGATGATGCCAATTTTCATCCTTGTTTGGAAGATGCGAAATGATGTTCCTGTTGGCGTTAGGATATGCTGAGAAATACCCCGTTTTCTTCGACGAGCTTCTCACGCTTAGAAGCTCATTTAATTCGGCAACTCCGATAACGTAACCGGCCTCCGCCGCGATTGTTATAATGCCGAGAATAGTACGAAGAAGATTGGGGGTTAATTGAGGAAGAGCGATTTCAAGGGCCGCTAGGTATAAAATTAGGGCTTCGGGAAGAGGAAAAGTCAGCCCGCAACCTTTGAAATAAATCTCATACACACAGAAGTAACCGTCGCGATGGTTCTCTGGAGATTCTGTGGGGGAAGCTATTTGTGCTTCCGCCATAATTTCCGGCGGAATCCGGCAAAGCTCTTTCAACCGCTCGAGGGATTGAAGAGTACAAGTGGAGCTATAGTGCGGACCGGCGATGTCACCAGGGCGGGTGCACTCGTCGTTACTAGAGCGCCTCTCGTCGAAAGACGGAGATTCGGGTCTATCGGAATCAGAAGTCATTGGGAAGAAAAGAAAATTCAAGATCCGGCGAAGAAGGGTTTTGGTGAAGGAACGAAGAGAGAGGTTCTGATTAAAGTACAAAAGTAAAAGAAGAGAGTAATGGTGAAAAGAAGTTACCTCAAGCTAATGATGAAACCGCCTCGGAAGTCGTGTGGGAAGTGGGAAGGTTTTTCCCGTTTTAATAGTAATTAATCAATATACGGTCATAATGATGACAGATGTCACTCGGTTAAAAATGGCTATTGCCGAAATTAAAGGAGTGATGTGATTTTCGGCGGGAAATCTTAAAGATTCTCGAGCGCAATCTTTGGCCACTTGAGCATTTAAAGTCCTCCGAATTGGAATAGCACTTCGAAGAACTTGGGGGGCTAATTGTTGGTGTCGGATCCCGCACCAGAAGTACGAGACCAACCAAAGATTGCCACGTAATCAGGGTAATGGCCCATAAAAGATGCAGCCCATTGGACCCGTGAGCCGAAGGGATGTTCGAAAATGGTTGTTACCATTTCGAGAATCCGAAGTGACTGCATTGTGGCACGGGTTCGATGAAAAAGGCAAGGGTAAGTCGGTTCAAGGACAGTTGGGCCAAAAGAGGCGAGGCCCATGAAGATCGGAGTCAACCCAAATTCAAACGTTGAGCATTAAAGCCGAAGAATCAAAACGGACACATTTAAGAAGAAATAATTGTGCTTAATTATTCATTTTAATGTCGTTTATTTGTGTATAAATATAGAGGCCAAGGGCCATGTAAGGGGGACTTCCTCTGAAGAGAAAAATACTATAGCAGTTTTCGTATCAATTTACAAGTTCTTACGTATTCATTTTTTGTCCCTCAAGAATAATCTTTCCCACTTAACGAAATACTTGAGTGTGCGAATCCGCCTTCCACAACTAATAGGGAAATTCATATCATATACTAGAAACGTGTACGTACACTACTGAACATGTATGTGATAGAAAAAGCATCGATGATTTTAAAAAGATGGTGACATTCAACCATCTTAAAGTCCTAATTGGGAGATATGACATGATTTGGAAGATTGAAAGTACACTAATTACTGTATAGACGAAGCATTATATGAAGGTGAATATTTGACCTACACGAATACACATGGACATGGTAGAGGTGAAATGCATGGTAATGGTTTGGTATTGGAGGATCATCAAAGGGGATATTACTTGAATCAAAGTACAGTTTAGTGAATGTGAATGAGTCTTACGAAGTGTATAATTGTTTTTCTACAATGCTAAGCACTAAGCCGAAGAGACTCGATGATGATTTTTCTCTTTTCTTCGACAATTTAACCAATGTCTAACTGATAAGAAAGAAGTAAAATAGTACAATATGGAAAGACAATTTTTTGCGGGAAATCCCTATACTCTAAATACCCGGTACCAAATGAGTCCCATGGAAACCAAACCGAATATCTTAATGCTTAGGGCTAGTATGAATTATCATGATGACTATGTATGTTAAGGACGATACAAATATCATTGTTAAGACAATGTACTAGCGTAAATAGGTGCATACACATGCATATTAGGAAAGTTAACGTACACAAGTACATCCATTGGAGACTATGTACGTAAACATGTAATAATGTGTACGTGAGAAACGAGGTAGTGATCATGACAGAGAGAATGGTGTTATTACCACCAAGTGTAGCGTCTTGCCAGGAGAGAAGTAAAACTATCACAAACAAGTGAGATTGGAACATTCTTTTTATTCATATTAGCAATCTAAGTGTAAATTGTATCGTTTTTTCCAACCCGTTAAGGATAGTGTGAATAGTGTGTGCATGATGAATAGCATTGCTGATGAAACTAACCATGGGTCAGAGGTGGAAACAATGAAGAAGTAGATTAGGAAGAAAAGATAGAGGGCGATAAAGAGGATGAAAAGAAAGAAGATGAGGATGACGAAGAGAAGAAAGAGGACGATAAAGATGACGACTATGAACAATAGTAAAGGTAATGGCAAAAACTATATTACAACAAGTGGACTGATTTTTTTGTTGAGAAATATGGGATAAGATATGTCAGGAATGTTGGTGACACTCAACTTACTGTGGGGCTAGCATAAAAATTCAGTTGATTATTAGAAACGTGTACGTATATTAATTAACGTGTACGTGATTTATAAAGCATCATTGGTTTATGTAATTAAAGTTGATTATTCGACACATGTACGTATACTACTTCACATGTACGTACACAGAAGAAATTCGCTGAAGGGTATAATTGTAATTGTGCAGTCATCTTCCACCTGAGTATTATCTACTTCTGCAACCCTAAATTTACAGCCGTCATTAATCTTCCACCTGAGTATCTACTTCGTCGTTTGGTTTTTTCCCAGCCATCTCGAAGGTTGCTATCTCGCCGGAGGTTTCTTAGTTCCTCTTCGCCGGAAAACCTACAACTTTCTCTTCGCCGGTTTTTGGAGTTCAATGCGATGCCTCAAATCAAGTAGCGGACAATTCGAACGGGGATGTCGAAAACGAATATGGATGAATGAATTCAGAACTGATTTCTACTTCTCTCTCGAATCTCTCCTTCTCTCTGTCGTTGTTCTTCTTCGTTTTCTTGAAATTTTTTTTTTTTTTTTTTAATTCAAAACAAAAAAAAACTAAACCGCAAAGTAACTGTATCGTTTGGTTTAACTCTTTAGGAGCATTTTCGTCATAAATTGGCTTAAATGTCAAAACGTGAGAAGCAAATCTCACTTTGCCAAACGGTGAGAACAAATCTTTTTTTCAACACAAACGTGAAAATTTCTTAATATTATATTATAGCACCTCACAAATATGTTGATCAATAAAAAAGTAGACGTTTTACTAATATTATCTGCATGCATTTTTTTGGTTTTGTGTCTCAAATTACTACAATAAAATGTATATGGAATGGAATAATGATGTGATGAGAATCGTGTTAATATGTGAATGATTGATAACACAATTACACAAAATGACATTTCATTTTCGTGTCTTTATCTATGAAATTGGGAAGATCTGGATTCACTATACTGATACAATTGGGGATACTTTTTCTGTTTTTGATAAGATAAGATAAGGTTTTCTCAAATGCATATAATATAGTTATCTAGTTTTGTGACTTTTTGTCCTTTAAGTTGTTTCACATTATTAAAGGTAAGATTGTCTTATAAAAGAACTGTTTTTTTACTAACCATGGAAAATGGAAAACAACTTCACTTAACCTACTAGTACTTGACTTAACTAATGATAAGGTCAAAATATAGATATAAGTGATTACGGACGGGTCTATATATATTTTGTCTCTTCTTCACCAAAGCCACAAAGGACTGATGTTTTTCAAATTGTTTTGCAAATTCACCTCCCCGACATATGTCTCTTCATGCAACACATCAATTCAGGTCCCGTGGAGAACCTTTGTGGATTGTGCTTGTGTAAAATTAGCGCTAGTAATTGATCGGATGTTCGTTGATTCAAAGGTATAATAAATACAAAGATAGCTCGATGACCACTGATTTTGAATAATGGTCGTTCATCGAGAGTTTTCGATAATCGTTAGATTTATGAAGTATCCCGATAACAAATAAGTATATTCAAAAGATCCTTATAACTTGATGAATTGTGTATATTCGAAAGGACCACAAACGAAAAGCCATGAACCAAAAATCCTAATTTTTGCTTGTTAAATACGTGACTTATAACGGGAAAAAAAAAAACAAAAAACTGACTACTTTTTAGGACTAAGCAACAACAAATGTCACAGACGACTCGTTCAATGCATAGCATTAAGCAAACAAAACCAAACCCAAAAACACACTTTTTATTTTTAGTAACCAAAACACACTCTTTCTCTCACACCAAACACACATTTTCCACACACTATACCAAATAAAACTGAACTCTAAATAAACAATAATTAAGAAAATAACCTTAAAAATAAATAGTGAATTTCTCTTGTCTCTCGCTTTCTTGTTTTTTTGGTATATGAGAAATCTCACGGCGGAGATAATCAGTCTCCGGCCAACTTAATGTCGACAATAATTCCTTCACCTCTGCCACCGCAACCTCCGCCACCGCAACCTCCGCCACAACATTACGTTACACCGCCTCTCACGGTGATCCTCACCGTAATCCTCCTCGTCTTCTTCTTCATTGGTTTCTTCACTCTCTATTTTTGCAAGTGTTTTCTCGACACAATGATGCAAGCTTGGCGTCTCCACCACGGCGGAGATACCGTATCCGACAATCCCCTCCAGCCACCGGAAGCTCCTCCCGTAAATCCCGGTCTTGACCTTCGAATCATTAATTCGTTTCCCACTTTTCCTTACTCCTCCGTTAAAGATCTCCGGGAAGAAAAATACGGCCTCGAATGCGCCATTTGTCTTCTCGAATTCGACGGAGATCACGTGCTCCGTCTCTTGACAACATGCTACCACGTGTTCCACCAAGAATGCATCGATCTCTGGTTCGAATCTCACAGAACTTGTCCTGTTTGTCGTCGAGATCTTGATCCTCCTCCGCAACCGGAAAACACCAAGCCTACCGTCGATGAAATGATCATAGATGTGATTCAAGAAACAAGCGACGACGAGGAAGACGATCATCATCGTCATCAGACAACAACACCTATTGATACTTGGCCATCTTCAGGACAGAGTAGTAGCATCAAAAAGGAACAAAACTTGCCGGAGAAATTCTCTAGATCGCACTCGACGGGACACTCGATAGTGAGAAACAAACCGGAGGAAGAAGATAAGTATACATTGAGATTACCAGAACATGTAAAGATTAAGGTCACGAGAGGACATAGTCAGACAGAGAGTTGTGTTACGTTCGCCGAACTTGTTAAAAACAGAGGATATGATCATCGCCGGTTTGGTGAAGTCTCTGGTCAAACGCAATCTGAAAATTGAAGGAGAAAGAAATTATACACTTTTTTTTTTGTCAATTAGTTTATTTTTTCGTCTTGTTGTTGTATTGGTTACATATCTTGTAGGTAGAAGACATTTTAACTTGAAAACCTTTAACAAAATAAAAAATTAACTTGAGAAGATGCTAATTAGTGGTTTTTTTTTCTTTTTTCTTACCGGAGTTTAATAATAAGAACGGACAATTTACTTTGTAATGCTAAAGAAGATTGTGAGTGATTGACCTTACAAAAGGAAAGCCTTGTGAGTCTGCCCTTGCGTTCAAATCAACTTTATTTGCAGAACAAAATTTAGATTTGAAAGAGATGAACCAATTCTATGGTGAAAAATAAACTGAAATAATTACTGTTATTCCACCATATACTGTAATATGCATCCTGAATAAACCAATAAAATATTACTACATATGATAAATTAATTGCTAAAAAGTACAAAATGAATGAAAATTGATTACATACAGAATATAAACTAATCTAATTTGTATTTATTATGTAATGATATGAAAAACTTGCAATAATGAAATGGATGACATGAAAAGCTTAATGTGATAGATAATAGATAACATGAAAATCATAATGTACTATCATTACTAAAATTACAAATGACATGAAAAGCTCAATGGTGAAGCAAATTTCTTACATGATGCCAAGAAATTTACCAATGGATAATGAAAATATTATTCTAATGTGATAGATAATCATCGCTTTTTCAATATATATTTTAACTTAAATGAATATAATGACCTATATATCGACTTTTTCCAGCCCAAATAGTTCTCGCATTAAGTTACATGAATCAAAATAGCAACTATGAAGGATAGCAACTATTGTACAGGCCCTGTGGTTTAGTTGTAAGGAGACGGACTTGAGACGCCAACATGTTTCAAGTTCGATCTATCTGTTGCACGAAACTCCAATTCATTTCTTTTAGACACTTATACGGATATGGGTCCATGACGTGGGCTGTACCTCTCCCAAAGATTAGTTTAAGCCCCTCCATATATCTAGGATTTACTTTAAATTATCAAAAAAGAAAAGAAAAGAAAGAAGAGAATTGAATTAAATTAGTAGGAGTTTGAAGCTCTTGAGCATTTACAATCTATATAACCAACCTACCTGTAAAACTAACTCATCTCAGCTAATTGAATTTTTTTTCTCTGTTTTACGATGACAAACCTTCCAATTTTTTTGACTCAGAATGATCGTCGTCCCATGCAACCTGTCTTGAAACTCGATCAAGGCAATGAATGAAGCAAATTTGGGTTTTGTGGGATTGAGCAACGACCGCAAACTCAATATCAAGGATGTGAAAGATGCTCTTCACTCGATGCATCTAAAATTCGAGATGGACGAGATCCCGTCTAGTTAAAGAGAAAGATGAAGACGAAGATGACTATATATATATATATAAATAATAGATTATTTATATGTTTTAATAATTATAATCTCTAAAGTAATTATTATTACATTTTGAAAAAAATTATAACTATGTTTTGCTGTTTTTGATTTTGTTCTTAATGTTTTTTTTTGTTCTAACAAATGGCTTTCAACAGTTTTCTAATTATATTTATTAACGTATCTATAAACCGATACTATGGGAAAGCTCATCAAGTCTTTTGATATAGAATCGTCAGAACCCATATTATAGCTTTTATTCTGCTTTTATAGTAGCCAAAAAGCCAAGTTTGAAGAACAAAATGTCTTCTATTTTTCTATTAATGAGTTTTAAACAAGACTGGATTGCTAGTCATTTATTAGTTTTGCTTCTAATTATCACCTAATAAAGAAATCTGCTTTTGGCCTTTTGCATATTTTAAGCCTATTCAATTATACTTCTCACTTGTTTATTTGCAAAATAACAAGCAAGCATGACATGGTTTATCAATTCTGCTACATACCTTAAAAGAAAGAATTTTATTTGTTGGTGTATGTGTTAACATTTATAATTTAGGACTTACTTTGATTAAAACAAAAACTAAAAGGTCTATTATGCAAATACAATAAACTTGGAAGTTGAAGACTGTTCTTGTAAAACCCCCCTCTCAGATACTGCAATGAGGAAAACAAAAATCTCTTTCAAATTTGTTTCGAAAATTTCACATTTTTCCGATGCCCATCAAATTCTTCGCCAAGATCTGCATCTGAATTATCTAAAGTTCCTCCATTTTAGTTTGTTTATCAAATCCAATGTCACGAATTCATCTGCTTCTTCTACCATTCTTTTATGTTTATTCGGATTAATCCGATAGAATGGTTCGTGGGTTGGTGAATTTCACTGGATTATCAACGAGGTTATTAAACATTTGCGTTGATTCACTCTGCAAATTTCGGAAATTGGAAAAAGCTGAGACCTTGATCATTGACGGAATCAGATTAGGTGTTGCTCCTGATGTCGTCACTTACAACACATTGATCAGTGGTTATTGTCGATTCGTTGGTATAGAAGAAGGTTACGCTGTGACTCTTCGGATGAGAGACGCCGGAATTAGACCAGACGTCGCTACGTATAATTCTTTAATCGCCGGAGCAGCTAGACGGCTGATGTTAGATCGTGTCCTCTACCTGTTCGACGAAATGCTTGAGTGGGGTATTTATCCTGATTTGTGGAGTTACAATACTTTGATGTGTTGTTATTTTAAGCTAGGGAAACACGAAGAAGCGTTTCGGGTTCTTTATAAGGATCTTCAGCTCGCCGGGCTAAGTCCCGGTCCTGATACTTACAATGTTCTTCTTGATGCTCTATGCAAGTGTGGGTATATAGACAATGCTCTTGAGCTCTTTAAAGAGATGCAGAGTAAGTTTAAACCGGAGCTTATGACTTATAACATTCTTATCAACGGGCTTTGTAAATCCAGGAGGGTCGGTACTGCGAAATGGATGCTGACTGAGCTCAAGAGATCGGGTTACACTCCGAATGCTGTTACATACACTACAATCCTGAAATTATATATTAAGACTAGGAGGATTAGAAGAGGGCTTCAGTTGTTCTTAGAGATGAAAAGAGAAGGGTATACGTATGACGGGTATGCGTATTTTGCGGTTGTTAGTGCTTTGATTAAGACAGGTAGAACGAAAGAGGCGTATGAGTATATGCAAGAGCTAGTTAGGAAAGGTAGGAGACATGACATTGTTTCGTACAACACATTGTTGAATCTGTATTTTAAAGACGGGAATTTGGATGCAGTGGATGATTTGTTAGGAGAGATAGAGCGGAAAGGAATGAAAGCGGATGAGTATACACACACGATTATAGTCAATGGTTTGTTAAGGACAGGACAGACGAGAAGAGCCGAGGAGCATTTTGTAAGTATGGGAGAGATGGGGATTGGATTGAATCTTGTGACTTGTAACTGTTTGGTAGATGGATTGTGTAAAGCGGGTCATGTGGACCGGGCGATGAGATATTTTGAGTCAATGGAAGTGAAAGATGAGTATACTTACACCTCTGTTGTGCATAATCTCTGTAAAGACATGAGGTTTGTTTGTGCTTCAAAGCTGCTACTGTCGTGTTACAATAAGGGAATTAAGATTCCGACATCAGCAAGACGGGCGGTTTTGTCGGGTTTACGGATGTCTGGGTGTTACGGTGAAGCCAGAAAGGCGAAGGCCAAAATGAAATTGACCCTGGTTGGGAATTCCTGACGATAAGTTTTGAAGTGAAAGTGTAATGTACTTATGTATCATGAAATAGAATAAAAGTCATGATTTTTTACATTCAAAAGACAAAAGGTCTCTGTACTCATGTGAACCGGATAAAATCCCATAACCAAACTTATTAATTGAACCGGCCGGTTCGTCATTCAAGCCAAATGAAAATCACTATCAACGTAACAATTTGATAGTAGATACCATATTTGCTTCTTCATTGTCTTCTCTTCAGATAGTAAACGCTAACTAAGGCCCAGAATCAAGAGATTGCTAGAATTGGATTAAGATTGTTCTGAACAATCGATGCAGAGGAAAATCCCATAAGTAACAGATGCCCAAGTCGGATTCTTCGCACTTTAATCAAAGCAGACCTAGAAGAATCCAAAATTCTACATTAATCCCAATCGAATAACACAAAAATGTGAAAAGAAAATTACGGAAACAAGAAAAATCGAACCTTGTTTTCAGATTTTTGATTTGAGTTTTCTTAAAACAAAAGTTTTGGCGGTAAGATTGTAGACGAGATTAAAAGGATTTTCAGAGCGGAAACAACAATTTATAGTTGTGTCTGGCCAAAAAATAACCAAAGCAACCGGGAGATTACGATTTTACCCTTCCAGATTGCTTTTGTTAACCGGCTTGAGTCTAAAGAACCGGAACTATCAATTAAACCGGCCAATTCGTGATTCAAACCAAATTAAATCTTAATAGTTGATCAACGAGAAGTACTGAGATTGTGTGACAAGTTTATGTATCATGAAAATACAATAAAAGTCCTGATTCTCTAAAACCATATTCTAAGACGTTTTTTTTTTTTTGTGTGGAAGAAGTAAACGAGCAATCTAGTATTTTCTAAGATTTTGTAGAATCAAAAGCAAAATAATTATCAGAAGTCAATAGTTATAAAATGTAAATTGACTAAAACGCAAAAATCTGAAATTTCTGAACACTTTGATATATGTAATTTTACTTGAATAAGTTATATTTCAAATTCTATACGCACTTGATACTTGAAAGAAACCTACCTCGATATCTAAAGAATCACAATCTAGAGAAAAGTCACTACTAATATAAGTATAAAAGAATTAAAATCGTAGCGTTGTGCTAATATCGCAAAAGTTACAATTTCTATTCATGTATAAACGTTAAACGTTTTATTTAATCATTAACCTAGAGTACTATTTTGAACATAAATCATTAGTTAAAGCGTCATAATTTCTCAATTTTTGTTTAGATTTAGTATATATCGATATATGTATCCAAAAGACTTTTTGAATATTTATCGCTATTAACAGGTTTCTAGGACTCTTATAGCTTTCCCAAACACCATCGCTCGCTCTTCGATGATTACCCCAACCTCCGCCGTCAACTCACCTTCCATGGTGAGAAACACACTCCCTCCTCAACACTTTCTCCGGTGGTTACTCGAACCTCGGCCGATTGCGTTCCACCTCTGATGTCGGCCATCAACAAGAAGTAACATGCTCAGAGTATGGAGATGAGGCCGATTATGTTTTCTTTAAGCATTGCATATATAGTTAATATTAGAACACTATTATTACTCTGAGTTTGTATCATTTTTATAGTTTCATTGTGTTAACATAACTCTAGTGCCTGATTTTATTTGATATTATATTTTGATGGGTGAGTCTATTATTATTAATTACATAGATAAAAGTAGGGAAACTACCTATAATAATGGGTAATATATTATAGGTAAGATGGCTTGAAAAGAAGCATGAATTTTGCACGGCTCATTGTTCCATCACCAACTTCATCATTTGTCGCCAATAGACGACCCATCTCTTCCGGTTGAAACTTCAATCTCATGGTTTGTATGACACGATTCAGTTTTTTAATTTTGAATATGTATCATTTTCATTTTTATAATCTTATAGTTATTAAAATACGACAACTGAGATCACTAATCATAAATTTGAATTTAAGTATATCGTTGTATAAGTTAATTCATCTATAGATTTTGTAATTTTTTATCGACATAGTTTTTTTTTTCAAATATTAAAATTTCAAGGCCAAAACTACAAAATTAATAACAATCCAATTTCGGATGAAAACATCCAAAACATTAATTTTATAGATATGATTGTCTAAATTCATCTTTTTCTATTGTAAAAAATAATCGTTTACAAAAATTTACAATTAAAACAAGTCACTTTGTAAATTATCTATACTAGTATAATCGCAGCACTTTTTGTGACGGGTGGGTAAAAAAGCTTTCGGGTATATCGGATATCCGACCCATTTTAAAAATTTCTTCACAAAAAATTTGTTGGGTCGGGTTATATTTAACCCAACTCATACACCGGATATTCTATATTTAATAATTTAGATTTTTAGAAGATTTGATTAAGATTTATAATTATGATTCTCCTATCATCTTTGTTTGATTTGTTTTTAACTGTTTTGAATCATCATATAATACATAAAGTAAAAAAAAAAATCAATTTTTTTTCTGCATATACTGTGATTCGAAATTTTAAAACGGACATATATTATCCAATTGACGAAAATGTGTGTTCAACGTTCTACATCGATTAAAATATTTAGACAATGATTCAGAATCATATCATAAATAAGAACATTAATAAAATAAATGAGTTTTTTGGCGGGATGGGTTTGGCGGGACGGGTTTTTGAATCAACAATAATAAAAAAATTAAAATATCATTAATCCGCCGCTTCAATACGGATTTAATCCTTATTTTTTTAATACAAATCACAGGACGGGTTAAGAAATTACGGAACGGGTTATATTTCGGAAATGATTTATATGGCGGACGAATTTGAATCAATATTTATATACCGCTTTAATACGGGTTAAATCCTCAGTTTATTAATAATTATCTCGTGGACTCGTGGTATACCGTTACTTAATAACAATTGTAAACTATAATATAAATAAATATGTTATAAGGAGATACAATTTACAAAATATTTTTATACTAACTTTAAAATTAAATCATCCCGCGGTGTACCGCTGGTTAAAATCTAGTTATATCTTAAAATTAGTAAAATATCATTGTCTCAATTTTTTTCGAATGTATAGAGATTTTAGTGTATCGAATGAATTTATTATTCAAATTTTTAAAAACAAAAACTAAACTAAAAAACTAAAACCGCTACAAAGGTTAAAAAAAAAAGTCGACTCCCCATACTATCAATTGAACCGGCCGGTTCGTGATTCAAACCAAATTAAAATCTATATACAGTTGATCAACGAGAAGGACTGACGTATTTTTTAATCTCTGAGTTTTTTGATGATGGATTCTCTACCAAAGCAAACTCTGAATCCAAACAAGCATCTCAAAGAACAGTAAAAGCTTCTCTCTTTTTGTTTCTTGTCGATTTCGTCAGATTGTTTGAACTTGTGATTCCTCCTTTGATGGGTTTTTGTTCGAATTGACTTTTGACAGATTTGTGAGCAATCTCGATGGATCTTCAATTCTGGAAATCGCAGCACTATTAACCATTGTCCCCGTAAGTTTCTTTTGACCCATTTCTTCGATTTTGCTCAATTTCTGATAATAATGACGTTTCTCTTGTTTCAGCTCTTGGTTCTTTTACGATACTCCATTGACTTCCACTGGAAAATTGGTGAGTGTTTTTTGAAGTTGGGTGATGTTCCTTAGTTCGATTAGTGTAAAGATGTGTTACATTTTTGTTATAGATAATAATAATGGTGGAATAGCCGTTTCATCGAAGAAAAACGACGATGAGATTGTTGTTTCCAGAAATTGGAAGGCTTACACTCATGCCATATCGTTGGATTTCATCCTCATTGTCTTCCCCATGCTCCTGTTTTTCACTGTACGTCCATTTTTGACTTACCAATTGCTACATTTAATGTTCTCTTATGATCACCAAAACTTCTTATTACAGGTTCTATCAGAATGGGTCTATCTTGGGGCAGTTTTGTTGTCTTTGTTGTTGCTGATTCTTTCTCTGACTGCCAAAAGGTAGAAACTTGTAAGTCATGTGGCATTTTCCCGTATTTTCCAAACTAATACATGTGTTAGTTACGGGTTTAACTTATGCTAACTTAAGGTTTTATAAGTAGATCTTCTTCGGGGTTGCAGAGAGGACAGTCTCTGTCGTTCAGAGCAAGCGTATCTTCTTATAGAGTTGCTCTGGTATACAACACTACTTAGTTTTAATTTTTAAGCCTACTCTGCTTTTATCTTTCATCTACTCTGAAAGATTTTTTGTTGCAGATGCTTATTACATGCTTGTGTATCTTGGCTGTTGACTTTACTATCTTTCCGAGGAGGTACGCCAAGACAGAGACTTATGGTACTAGCTTGGTATGTTTGCAATGTCTAATCTCATAGTCTTTTAGGCCCTAAACTAATATGATATTTGTCTTCCTATTGTGATTAACTTTGTATTTGTCTTGATATTACAATTTGTAATGCAAACAGATGGATCTTGGGGTCGGCTCTTTTGTGTTGGCTAATGCTATTGTTTCTCGGCAAGCTAGAGACGTCTCATCAGGGTGGGTGATTCTCTTGGCACTCCATTAGCCTTTTTGAAATGCTTTGTTACTGGTTCAGCATTATGTGAACTCAGTCCAGTTTTTTTCTTGCATTGCTTCAGAAACTGGATAACTGGACTTAAAGCAACTGCTCCTCTGCTACTACTCGCGTTAATTCGTCTCGTTACCACTTCAGGTGTGGATTATCAGGTAAAGACACTTTTGCATTTCTGCCTTAAATACTTTTCTTTTTACAAAGTTTTAACATTGTTGCTTATCAACTATATGAAGGTCCACGTTACGGAATATGGAGTACACTGGAATTTCTTTTTCACACTTGCAGCCATATCAATTCTCACATCATTTGTTAACATACCAGCCAAGTACTGTGGAATCCTAGGTTTCTCTGTTCTTGCAGGTCTGTTCAGATTTTGCTTTCTTCTTATCTTTAAATTACAAGATTGTGAAACCTAACTATCTTCAACTTCCATGGTTCTCAGGGTACCAAACTTGGTTGATTAGTGGACTGAACACATATTTGCTTTCGGACGAAAGAGGAACTGACATTATCAGCAAAAACAAGGAAGGAGTATATAGCATTCTTGGTAAGATTTTGATTTGGTTTATTTACTACTCTCTTTTGATTATTCCGCGTCTAACTTTATTTTGATTCAGGTTATTGGGGCATGTACCTTCTTGGCGTTCACTTAGGTTATCGTCTCTTTTACGCAAAACATTCAAATATTCGAAGCACCACAAGCTCAATCGCTAGAGTCTTTCTCGTTTCTCTTCTCTTATGGTAAAAACAAGCTGTTATAGAACATACCATCTCATTATGATAAAGATACTCATGGTCATGTATTATGTATGTTTGTCTCAGGATTGTGACTATACTTCTTGACAACTACGTTGAGAGGATCTCCCGTCGAACGGTAATGATACTCACTTAAAGCTCAAAACCATTTAAAGGGACAATAACGTTTGAAGCCGTTTCTATATTATGCAGTGCAACATGCCTTACGTTACTTGGGTGCTTGCACAAGATCTTCAGGTCTCTTTATAGTTCAGAATTGATCATAGTGGTGACTTTGTCTTTGCGATTTGAGATTTTATTCGTCTCTGCTTTTGTTTCCAGGCGCTGGGAATATTTATGCTGTCTAGTTATATACCGATGAACAAACTTTCATCACTTGAAGAAGCAATTGACCAAAATCTATTAGCTACCTTTCTACTTGTAAGTCTGCTGTCAGTTGATTTCTCCGAAATCTTTATGAATCTTGATTCTCTTCGAACTGATTTCACATTTCCCGTTTTTTACAGGCAAATCTTGTTACAGGAATAGTGAACCTCACCGTAGATACCATCTTTGCTTCTCCATTCTCTTCTCTTCTGATATTAACGGCTTACGCCTTTGCTTTATCTGCTATTATTGGAACCATTCATATCTCCGGTTTCCGATTAAAGTTCTGGTAATTTAAAAGCTCACTACATCTTGTAAACTGACGCTAGTTTTGGATTCTGATCTGATTGTAGTCTTGTGAAGTATGAATCTTTCTTCTGTGTATGAAACTTTTGCCGTGTGAATTTTTCTGATCCTTAAAAAAACTGAGTAGAAGAACTGGACTTTGCGTTTGAGAACTTCGTTCTTGCTTCATCCAATTCTTCAACCTAGTGATTCAGATTAGTTAAAAGATGACTGTAATTAGCTAGATCAATGCTGTCACTAAAACACATAGGATTACTTGAACTATCGACGAGCTGAAGCCTAGTTTCTTAGAGAAAGAACTGTCCATTCTGGAATCCGCAAAGAAGCTTGATGATTACTTTGGTGGAGCAACATGGTGCCATCAATAACTCATCCTTGACAGCAGAAGAAACCACATTATATGCTTCTGGTTGACAATTAGTAGTATTTTCTGCAATGGCTTCTTTAGCAAGAATCGGCATATACAGATCAGCAGCTCCTGAAGTATACTTAGCTTCGATTTTGCCACCATCGGTCCATCCATGTTGCTTAAAAAAGACTTGAAGCATGGGTGTTGCCACCAAATATCATTGTCTAAAGCTACTCAGGGCTCCATGAGTCTAAATTCGTTGATCTATACCAATGAACATACAAAACAAAAATGTCGCATCTAGAGACAGAGTTGAGAAAGTAATTGAATGTGGCGTTTTTCTTTCTTTTTTCTTTGTCCAAAAAGTCTTTCCTTCTTCCCCATAGTTCTATCTAAATCCTCTATACGCTATTAGTTTCTTTGAATTTTGTTTGTTGTCTTTGTTTTTGTTTCCTTTGTTAAAGGTTTTTCATAATTAAAGGGAGTGTTGTACAACAATGAACACTAGAGTCATAGTGCAAGAGATTGAACATATATAACTCAAGGTATGTTCCCCTCTTGTTGCATATAACGACTTTATGTTATGTAATGTTTAAATAAATTATCATGAAATTTAAATTATTTTCAAAAAAAAAAAATGTAATGTTTAAATCAACACTATTATAGATCTTTCTAATAGAAATCATATGACATCAAAATAAAAGCTAACATTTTACCAAATAAAAAAATAAAAAATAAAAGCTAACATATTTACGTACCACATTCAATATCTTAGTCAACAAGCCAATTTTATCATCAAAAGAAAAAGAAAAAAAAAGCTAAAGAACAAAGTTAAAGTCACATAAAAAGAACAAAAAAGTAAGTAGCTAAAAAAAAAAAAAAAAACTAAAACAAAGCAAGCTTCTCATATACCAAAAGAATCTCTATTATATTATAAAATATCAAGTTTTGGTACATTCCACATCTATAAACCACATTCATCACACATATAAACAAATTCTTATCTCTTTGATGCTACGATTTGGATTATTATCATATATGAATGAATACACTTATCAATGTAACATAATCTTTGATTAATCCCTCCAGGATTCAATTTTTCTTTTCTTTTAATTTTCCTCTTTCATGGAGTCCGATCCAAATCCTAATGCTTGGAATCAATACATAAATCCAAGAGATTGTACTCAAGGCTTATGTTCCACATTTTGCCCTCAATGGTGTAGTTACATCAACTTCTCTCCACCACCAATTTCCTATGAACAATTCCTAAACGACGGCGTTTCATCAAACCCTAATCTCTCCCCTCTTGTCATCGCTATTTTTGGAATCTTTGCAACTGCCTTTCTCTTGGCAGCTTACTACACTCTTGTCTCAAAGTATTGCGCCAACGACGCCACCAATGAAGCTGCCTCAGAAACCGGAAGATCAGATATAATTCTCGATGTTAACTCGCCCGAAAGTGGAGACCAAGACGACCTTTTTTCTCATGAGTCTTCAAACGCCGGCTTAGATGATGCTCTCATTAAAAAGATTGGTTTCTTCAAGTTAAAGAAGCATCAAAACGGTTTCAAGATCAAAGGTACCGATTGTTCAATATGTCTTGGAGAGTTTAACGAAGACGAGAGCTTAAGGTTATTGCCTAAATGCAACCACACTTTTCACGTCGTTTGTATCGATAGGTGGCTCAAATCTCACTCAAATTGTCCGCTTTGTCGGACTAAGATCATCATCCCTACCACTCAACAACCCGATCATCATGTTGTGGTGATGAATCTTGATCGATTCACGAGCAATGTTGGATCAGCAGAAGGAAATGTAGTCGTTGTTGATCATCGTGAAGAGGTTAGTGTTTCAATTAGTTCTCATCATCCACGTCGGTTCTCGGCCGCGGATATTGTTCTGGGAATAAGGAGAGGCGGAGAAGAAGAAGAGGAAAATTATGATCTTGAAAACGGAAACAGAGAAAAGCTTGTAGACTTGAAAAGATCATTCTCAAGTGGTGAATTGGTCCTTGGGACTCAAGGAAGGACTAGAAGATCTCTAAACCTATGTCCTTGAGTATTTTCCTTTACAATATCTTTATTTGGGGTGGGAATATGAAACATATATTATTGTATTTACACTCAGAAATTTATACATACATACATATTATAGATACGTTTCAAGGATACATATATACATCATCTTAGTTTATAGGTTTGAATTTTCGTTCCCTATATATATTTTTTATCCGCATTTATAAACTGGTACATGTGTTTTTATTGTTGATTACCAAAGTTTTCTATATTAAATATTTAGAACGTTTGTCTACACCACTAAACGTTAAAATTAATCAATTTATCTATCATTTTAGTTTTTACGTAAATAGTATATTATTTTTTATTTAGGCTCGTTCCATATAATTGAAGAATAAGCCTTGTTTGAAAAATCGCTAGGCGCTAGTCGGGCGTTCGGTATGGCCTAGCGATTAATCGGAAAATCGGATTAAAATCGGAGATTAATCGAGGATTAGTTTTAGGGTTATTTTAATATTTTAAAAATTTATTAATCTAATATTGTTTTCAAAATTGTAGTAAACTAGTAAACACATAAAAATATATTTAAGGCAAATTTTTATGATTTTTTATTAAAAATTATGACTTTTATTAAAAAATTTAACATAAATTATTGTACAACGTCACAAACTTCCAATTCAAATATTTAAAATACAAAAAAAAAGAGTTGTTTTATACTTGCAATAAAAAAATAATCGGGATATGTAAGAATAGGCGGAAAATAATCGGGATATGTAAGAATAGGCGGAAAATAATCGGATTAGGCGGGGATTAATCGAATTAGGCGGAGAGTAATCGGGTGACTGATTTTTTAAAGGATTAGTCATTAATCAAGACGGAGAGGGTGGGCGTAGCAATTAAGCAGGAAGTAATCGAGGTAACCCGGGATTTTTAGAAAAGGGGGAATAACTATTAAAAAAAAAACTCTTTAGGAAAAACATATATTCTTCTCTCTCTCTAGTCTCAATGCTTATTACCTTCTCAAGAAAGTTAAAAGAGAAAGCAAATTAGGCCTTCCCCACCAAATTGCTTTCCAACACAATGGCCCATGAGAATTAATATACCTTTTATAACTAATAAAGTTTAAATAAATTTATTATCACAACACCAATTATATTTAAAGTCGCTCCATTTGTCCAACTAAGAACCATATGTTATTATTTGTTAAAGCCAAAAATCTTTATTCCAACTTTGCAAGTCCAAAACCCTTGAAATGAATCGTAATATTTTCTTTGAAATCGCAAAAAATACACAAAGTATGTAATCTCATTATTTATTTATTATTATTCAAGATCCATGTATGCACCTAACCAAACCAAATTTACACCATGCATACATAGATGAAAACCAAAAACTATTTTGTTTTTATTCCCATTTTTAGCCCACTAAAACCCCTATATTTCCCTTTCTACCCTTTTTGCATCACATATACAAGCACATTACATATTCACAATATTTGCCATTAGTAGGACAAAACCTAACTTAAGGCCTTTCTTTTTTTGCTAACACAAGCAAAAGACCATTTCTTTGGTATACGAGGAAAGAGAAGAGACAGAAGAAGTCTCTGTATTAGCTAAACCCTTTGTGTGTAATCTTATAGATGAAGAAACTGGCAAGTGGCAAAAGCTTCTTTCTTATCGGTTCTTATCCCATCGGAGATCGGTGAGGAATTCCCTTTCTTCGCTTGACGATTCTGCAATTACTAGTAAGTGGAGGTGTTGATGGGCTGAAACTCTGGAGATTTGTTATGTTCTTCCCAATTGCAATGCTGCTACTTGAATCCTCTGTTTCCATTAGAAGATTCTCCCTTCCTTTTTCGAAGCCTCTTGATGTTCCAGCAATCTTGATTTCATTTACCAAAAACATAGAGAAAGTAAGTATCAGAGAATGTTACCGAGAAAGAAATATATCTCGTTCAAAGTTTGAGTAAACGCGATAGGAAAAGAAATGTTTCCATCGTTTTCTAGAGACGAATAAAGGAGAGTTTTACTGAAATGCAAGGAAAAGTTAGGTGAAACTGTAAAACACAGATCAGATTTTCAGATGACTCAATTCAAAAGTTTTGATCTTTTCTTCGTCCAATTAAAAGGGAATTGAATTTACCAAAAATGCAAGCAAATGTTAGGTGAAACTGTATGAGACCTGATTTTGCTATATGAAACGTGTAAAGAGGGAATAAAAGTGTCAACCAAATACCAAAGTTTCTTCTATTTGTATCAATAAAAATGAAAAAGCTGGTAGTATTGGAAATGTACCTTGCAGCCAAGAGAGCAGAAGCGGAAGCTATCATCGACGAGGCTACGATAGCAAACCTTGCAGGTATTGGTTACACCTTTCCCAGGCCTAGGCTGAGGCCTCTCATTCAAGAAGACGACTTTAGCACTATTGATCACATATGTTTGGATCCCAGCTATATCAAGATACTTTTGTATCTCATTCACCCTTATAACATCATGATAAGAAGATCTCCTTATCTGCCAAAACAAACCAAGACAATCTCAGAACCTCAACAAGAATAAAGTATATATCGAACCTTTCGAATTATCGCAAGAGACACAAGTATTATACAAGAATCAAAGATCAAGACTTTACCTGAATGGTGCGATGATCCTTGTGATGAGCAAGACAAAGAGAGCAAAGCGGGCCATTGGTGCAGTCTAAGCAATACATATTGCATTCACTCTTATGAGAGTCTCCATGAAACTTGCAATGAACAAAGAATTGCTCTTTAAGCAAAGGTTTCAACCATGGCGGCCACCGGTTCTCTTCCTCCTCCGGTCCACCAGCTCCCTACACCAAAACCAATATTATTCAATTTTCATCATCTATCTCATAAAATCAACATTACCATTTGGTATATAATCAACATATACCTCAAGAAAACATGTAGACATATATATCTCTTAAACCTTCATAAAACTCTTTATTTCAATTCTTTAAATTCATCTTGTGATAGAAGTTTGAAATTTGATTCTGTTCCATTTTCTTTTTCAGATTCGTGTTTCAACTATTTCACTGGATTTCTAAGAGTTTAAAAGTATAAAGTTGGTATCTCATGAAAAAAAAAGCATATATTGTACCAATTCGTGACACCAAATAAAGTAAAAATTAACTAACGGAATCGACCCTGAGAGAAAAAAAGAAGAAGAAGCATTGTTCTGATTCTTCAATATCAAAAATCAAATCTTTTTGTTAGGTAAAAAAAAAACAGAGCACTTCAATGAAGAACCCATTTTTAAATTGAAAAGAAAAAAACAAAAAAGATTACAACTTTTCGCCATTTTCAAGTTTTTAACTTTCAAATTCAATCAAAAAACCCAAACCCAGAATCTAAAACACACAAAAACCATTGCACATTTGAAGAACAGAGAAGAAGTAGAAACAGGGTATTGTTTAAAAAAGTACCATGATTCTTCTGTTCTTAGGTTTGATTTCACGGATTGTGTTCTCTTGATCCTCGATTGCCATTATCGTAATTGCAGGAAGAAGAAAAAGAGAGTCTTTTTCGAGTCAGCTTCCAAGTTTTTTTCTAGAGAGAGAGAGAAGTGAAGATTTCTTGCAGAGAAGGTAAAAAGAGAGAAGAATGAGGAGATAGAGAGAGAAAGGAGAGTCAGTCTCTCTTATCTTTGCAAAGTCGACCAACCCAACCTCCTTCCTCTTTCCTTCTAATTTTTTATTTATATAAATTTTCCAATATCTTTTTATCAAAATTAAAATTTAAAATTCCAATATCTTTCTCATAATATACCAACTAGATAACAACTCGTACGATGTGCGGGATGAAGTGATTTAAGTAAAATTATTATGATTAAAATTATTATCCGGTATCCAAGATCTGTTTGTGTAAAACGAAACATGTTACAAAATTTTTTTTGTTTTATTCAAATTTGGGACTATTTCATATAAGAATATGTTTTATCCGTGAAATATTTGAACCTTGAATAAAGCTTCAACGTGATAAAAAAATATTGACGAAATGTTACCATTTATGGTAATATGTCTTTCCGTATGTTTTAAAGATTTTGAGATTTTGTAGTATAAAAATATATATATTTTTTAATAAGTATAAGAAATCCAAAATTTAGCAAAGATTAGATTTGATAGTTTCCAAACTAAGATTTTGTAGTGTTCCAAATCTAAGATATTTAGATTATGAATGGATTATTTACGAAATGGTTATAATGTGGCCAGATTTTGGTTTATATACAAATGTGGTTTATCTTATTTATTTAAGTAAAAAATTTATGAAAGATGTAAAGATTTTGTAGTTTTGAATTAGAGATTCTTGAACCAAATGTATATATTTTATCATTTAAATATAAACATAAATATAAATATAAATAAAAAGATTGTTTACCCATCCGCTAAAGAAAATTTATATAAATGTATATAAAGAAAAATATAAATATAAAAATATAGTAATATAAGATAAACAAAAAGTGTATGTTTTTAATTATTAATAGGATATATGGATGTATGAGACTAAAGACAAATTATGTAAATAGTCTAATAAATCTTGGGTAAATATCTAAATAGAAGCCAAATCATTGTGAGAGCGACACATCAGCATGACAATCTTGTTAATAACACATGATGGTAAGGTTTTTTTAAAAATATGTTTCTCTATTAATATATAGGGGATTACCCTAAAGATAATCTCTATATATTTTTCCCATATTCTCTCTTAAACAAATCTTCAATAATATAATATCACTTGCATAAGTAATATTTCTTTTCCATTATTCCTGTTTTCTAACTTTCACTATTATAAAAATTTCTCAAAATAATACAGTTGTGTTATTATTTGGACTTAATCTTAAATCCTAGTTTTTTTGTGAAAATTTTAAATCCTTGTTAATATTTTGTCCGTTACATAATCTCAGAGCACAACATGATTGTTGGTTACATACACATTGTATTTATTTATAAAATAAAATTGTTTTATTAATAATATGGAAATTTGTTTACCTTTAGCAAAAGAAAAAAAAATGTGGGAAGGTTTTCGTGTTAGATATTATATTAGCCAAGTGGAGAAAACTATTGCTCCATTATTGTAGTTTTGAGTCTTTTGACATCTCATCTCTATCCTTTAGAATCCCATTATATGTTTCATCAGGTGGTCTCTCTATTTTTCAAAAAAAAAACTTATTTTGCTTATTCAAAATTTTAAAATGACTAGAATAGCTATTAAGTTATCTTATGTAATTCTTTGGTTAAATAATTTAATTCATCTCAATCTACAACCAGCTAACCAAAAACCTTTTATGTGTCCCTTACCAAAAAAAAAAACCTTTTATGTGTCCAAAAACAGTTGAATATAACATCAACAATATACGTAATGTTTTCAAATAACTTGACTGTTGAAAAAAAAAACAGAATGTAATGGCAGAAATGTTTGAATAAGAATTTCATTTATACTTATAAATTTCGTTTTATGGAAGTATTGTATGTGGGTGTATATGTATTTCTATTATATGTGCATAAGAATGAGTTTTTGTTTTTGGTGAGGTGCATAAGAATGAGTTGGAACAAGTGTGAATCGCACTTTAGTTTGTTCTTATTATTATTGGTGTATGTATATTTGTATATAATAGAAGATGGATGATATCAATAATTAGATTCCATTGTTATAGCTTTTAAAGCGAGCAATAAGCGGAGACAAGCTCATGAATTGGACATAATAACCTAATCCATGTGTACTTGTTTATCATTTTTTTAATTAATAAAGAAGAAATTAATGCAGAAATTTAGGTCAAAAGATGGGTGATTATATCAATAACACACCCTTTTGTTTATTAGTGCTTGCGTTTGGTTGTTGTTCTAATTTAATTAGGTAAATTAACATTGCAAAGTCAGTACTAACTATTCCAATATGCATCACTTGAAAAGGAAATTCCATTTTAAAACTCATGTCCTTTGGTTATATAAAACTCTTATACACATAATGTAATTCACCAAAACTTTTATGAATATCGCTGTCATGTCTCATCTGAAATGAAAGTACAATTAATTTAGTTTTGATAAATCAATATGTTCCCTAAACGTAATGTCACAATATTGAATGAACAACAAAGTGTGTTTTGTTCTAAAAATTCGATAGGTGAAACATGGAATTATTTATTGAAATACATTTTTTTGTTGTTGAAATTCATTTGTAGAAGAGTCTACTCATTGCGTTGTTAATTTAGACTTCCGTGTTTCATGCGGATATAGAATTTGTTGGCCCGATGATATATATATATATATATATAATTGTTTCTACCTTATGAATCATCGTATAATGTGTGTCTTTAATTTTTGTTTAAATGCCTATAATGTACTATAATAAAAATAAAAGAATGACGACAAGGAAATAAATTAAAAGGGAGACATATAATATGCATTCTATAGACGTCATATGATGATAAGTAATAACAGCTTTTATTCATTTGTCATGCATGATGGTAGATGAAGGAATATGCCAAATTGTTGTTTTTTTTTTCGTAAGTAGAAAAGATGAAACATAGTATTTGATATAAAACTGAAACAATTTAATATACTAAATATTACATATTTTGTATTGGTGATAAGTTAGTATCTTTGTGACAAATTTGAAAAATGTGTGCAGTCATTTAAATAGGAACACACAAGTCTTATATGCATTTTATTGTCCATTGACTTTGAATAAGGACGCCACTTGACTTTGATATTCCCACATCCACATTTGTTTTTCTTACTTTTCATTTGGTTTTTTTAGTTTACTTTTCATTTGATCATTTATGTTTCCTTTGTTAATCTCTATTACATTATAGAAATTCATAAATATAATTAAATTTCTGTAATTCATTCTAATTTTTGCATAAATACATATGTGATTAGATTTCATTTAAAATTTATAACACGAGTTATTTTGGATTAAAGCTAAAGAAATTAACGAAAAAAAAGGTAAACGATTAGTCAATATCATGCAAGCAATTGAAAGGTTAGTCCAAGATTACAATATAGTAATTACGCATGATTTCATTCATGTTCACTTTTGTTTAACTCACGATAAAATTGTGAGGTAAATAGTTTAAAAACATATAAACACGAGTTATTTTCCCTGACGTTAGAACTACAAAAATATTTAAAACAAAAAGAAAAATCGAAAGGTTTAGTCAAAATTGAAGCACTTTGGACACGGCACGCCATATCTGACCCGGTGGATGGACCCGTTTCTTATCATATTTTTCCTTTGTTTTCTCTTTATTAATTTTTTCGAAATTAGTATTTTAATTTTATCAACCATATAAAGTAAAAGTATAAACGAAACAAGACTAGACTCAGTAGACGATAAACATCACAGAATTAGTATTTATTTCGCATCTTCGAGAAACACTTGTATATTATTTCTCTACTCAATCTAAAAACAAAACTCGAGATATAGACATGTATGTAATGTACATTATCATAGTCCACTAATCTTCAAGTTTTTACTCATAATGTATATTATCTTAGACTCAATAGTCCACTAATCTTTAGATATTTACTGACAACTGTACTTACTTTACATGATTAGTAAGTAAGTAGTAAATCGATCTCACTTGATTTATTATTATTAGTAAAGAACTAAGCAAGAAGTCAAAATGAGCGTAACCAAACCGGTCGGTTTTCATTTTCAGTTGAATTATCGGTTATTCACATTTCAATTTAATTTTCCGTCGAAGTCCAGTGACCTTAGAAAATGTGTCAACAAATATAAACCAGTGATCTTTACGCTAGTCTTAATTGTCTTAGGATCCGAGTTGGGGTTTTCAGGTTCGAACCAACAAAAATGAAGCAAAAACCATTAACAGAATCTAAAGCTTTATTAGATTCTTAATCCTTACTTCTCATCAATAAAGCCAAGTCAAAAAGACCAGAACTACTAGTATGCACGAAACCAAAAACGATTAAAGCCTGATTTAGTCTAATCAAAGTCAATTATAACACCTAGAAGAAGAAGTTTGTAGCTAATAAGCGATCAAGAAGGTCGACAAGAAAGTCGACAAGATACCTCTCTGTGTCCAGATGCGGCAACATTTTCATGTTGTTTTTAACTTTTTGGGTGGAGAACCAGTTGTAGAAATGGCTTGATCCAACAACTCTCTAGCCCTAGGTGAAGGTTTCTTCATGAGGTCTCCATTCACAAATTCTGCTTCCATGGAATCTGCAATGTTGCTTATTGATGATAATGGCTGCTTCCAAGGTTCTTGGCTCTTTGCGATTTCTTCGATTTGCGAGAGCTGCATTTGAAAAGTTCCTTCTGCAGAATCATCACACACACATAAACCAAGTAAGCACTAAACTCCATCAGTTAACATTGATACAAATAAAACATAAAACTCGATTCAAAAGTTTCAACAATCTTTCCTGTAATCAGAGAATTGAAATTTACCTTGCTGTTTTGGAGACGACGACAACTCTTGATTTTGATCCAGGAGCAGAGGAAAAAAATCATCAACAGTGGTTGCTCTTTCAATGGCTAAACAAGAATCTGGTTCATTCTCAGTGCATGGACTGTAAGAATCAACAGTCTCAAGCGGGTCCAAAAGCTCTCCCATAGTAGAATCCTCGCCACTAGAAGACTCTGCTGATAGAAACACATCTTCGGTTAGCTCATTAGAGAGGGAAACAAAATCTTCTTTTGTCTTGACATGTTCGTTAGACACTCCAGCAGAATCGCAGGGTTTGCTTGATTTATCGCCATTCTCATAACTGATCTCTGATAAACACTCCCCGTTAGTAGAAGAATCAAGCACAGACTTTGGGGAAGAATTTAGTAAACTCGCTTCAAGCAATGGCTGCAACTCTTCATAGGCACTAGAAAACCAGGGAGTTCCTTCCCGTGCATAAAAAAGAATATATGAATCCTGTGATAGCACCCTATCTTCATCGATTCTAGTGACCTGCCAAGGTTTGTCATAAGCACAACACGGAAAAGTTTATTTATGGAAATCATCTATTAAAGCACCCGGATCAAATAGAATTACTAAAAATATCACCTTCGAGTCATCAAAGTGATGCCATATCTTAGGAGCGGATCTCACATAGGAGGAGTAATGTCCATAAGCTACTGAATACCCAAGATGTTCCACAAGAGCATAAAGATGGTATTTTGTAGAAACCTGAAAAAGAAAGATGTAAAGTGGGTTTCAAAGTGTGCGATCTGTAGATAAATACAACATTTTGAGAACATAAAAGGGAGATAAGAGATAGTTTAAGTTTCACATACTTCGTTTTCCTGGCTATTCCTCATATATGGCTGCAAGTCTATCTCTAATGGGATCTTGACATGCTTAAAGATCTTCTCCATAAAAAATCCATTAGTCTTGAATCTCTTCAGATGGAAAGTAGCAACCAAAGGGAGCTTATCAAGCAACATTTGCTTCTCCTTTGAAACTTTTTCATTACAGGTATCACATGTCAACTGCTCATCAAGTTTCTCCACACGGGTAAAGGATTCAAGTGCACTCCCAAGGGTATCCGCATCTTCAATTTCCAAACTCAACCCAACAGACTTTTCAAATGTCTCGGAGACAGAGTTGCAGTTGCAGCAACGGAGCTGAAAGCAGAAATACGTACATGTTTACGGAAATCAAAATGAAACTCATACCGAAATACCTTTGACACTTAACCAAGTATAATATTTCGAGTAAACTGCTTACTCCACTGATGAGACGACCAGCAAAGACATCTTGAGAAGAGATATTGCCATGAAAACTTCTTCTATCCGAACCACATCTCTCCAACTTCTCCAAAAATGCTTGCAGAAACTCATGAGCGTCTTCTTGTTGATAACGCTGGAAGTCAGGCGAAAAATCTGTGATAGCTAAGGATAAATCAATGCATCTCATAAACAAAATCAGAGAATCTCAAAAGCAAACATATTCAGAAAATTAATGAAAAAGAATTCGATGAAGGATACAATTAAGATTGTTAAGAAAATAATAGGGAGCAATTGGACATCTCTCAGGCCTCAATGCAGCCTCAATGTGATATCGAAGAGCCCTTATAACACAGAAGAACTCATTGCCACCTACAAAGCCAAAACATGTATATATTATAAGATCATTACAACATAACATAAGAACAAAAAGCTACACTACATTAGGAAGAGTCTTACAGTGACAGGGAACTTCATATTTGTAAGCACGAAGGCTCTCGATAAGTGGCACAGTATGAGTGAAGCATTGAAACACCGAATTAAGGAAACAAGTGTTGCCTAGATTCCAAAGTCCAGCACCCTACAAACAAAATATCAAATTCGTAATCAGAGAACAAAATTGAAAACAATGCAACCAAAATCAAAAACGAAATCAGAACATACAACACCAGTCACGGGCTCAGGTTCTTGCGGGAATCCGAATAAGGATTTGCGAAGAGATTCGGTTTTAGAGTTGTCATCATCATCATCGCTTCCAAAACCAGGCGAAACATTGGGAGTCCAAGGTCTGTGAGCCTCTCGGAGATCATCAGACGGACACGCGTCCCAGAGATCATCGTCGATATCGTCTAGAGCTTGAGAAGTAGTCCCAATTCGAGTCTGAGAGTCTGGAAAATTGCTGAACTCATCGTGATCCAAATTGATCGGAGAATGAACGGATTGGGTTTCGTCAGACGAAGAAGAGGTGTAACCATCATAGATCGGAGGCGGAATTGAGAGCGAATCATGATTATTATTATCATCGCCGCGATCTCGATTTGGGGACGAAAGAGCCAATGACTGAACATTAACAACATGTGCTTGAATCGACTCGTTCTCATCTAGGGTTTTGATCGAGTTGGGAATTATCGACGAAGATACGTCGGAATTAGCCATTAACATCGTCGTCAAGTTCGATTTCTGACTGAAAAATTAGGGTTTCGTCGATAGGAGATGAAAAGTCGAAATTTCGGTGCGAGAGATCAAAATTCCGGTGAAGAAGAGGGGTTTGAAGAAAGATCGGCGGCGAATTAGAGAGGAAAGTGAGAAGAAGGAGACTAAGAGATGATTTGAATTGCGAGGGAAAATCGAATCGCCATTGTTTAGGGTTTTTAATCTTCCGGGAATTGAATTTTGGGCGTAAAACTGTAAAGTGTGTTTATGTATCTGATGATGATACATACAGATATTCTTCCAGATACGGTAAATTTGTTTTCCTTAGGTCGGTGGTCAACATTGGATTTTGACTCTTTTTTTTTTTAGTTAATTTTTATATATTTTAAAGATAAATTAAGCATTAATTGGTAATTTGTAAGATAATAGTAATTTAAAATTTAATATATATTTTTTAATTTTCTGTTATTCAACATTTTTTGGCATATATTTTGGAAAAAAATCTGACTTAAATTGGAAAAATTTTACAAAGTAAGTATTTTTTATTTTGCTTATTAAAAGTGCAAATATTAGTTAGTTAATAAAATCTTGCAGAACCAAGAATTCTATTATTTTGGAGATTAACATTCAAAACAGATTGTATCATCACAATTAAATCCACTTTTTCTGCAAACAAACAAAGATTTTAATAAAGTCTATAACATGTCCAATATAATAGTGTGTATCAATATAGATGTTGATGATAACAACAATAGCCACGTCTCAATAATCCCAAAAAGCTCTATAAAAACAGAGAAACGTGAACCTCATTGGAAGTTTCCGACAAAGCTTCTTTCTTACTTTTTTTTCTCTGTCAAATCAAAAACTCAAAAAACATGTGAGACCTCGTGGTCTTCTTCTTACAGCATTCTGTCTTGAATATCACTGAAGATACCAGAAGCCAAAGTTCCAAGCTTCTTCTTTGTTTCCCCTGCTATGTTCACCAAGGACGATATATCTTGTTGCGCCTGAATCAAACATTTGAAATCGAACATTCATCAACAGGTTAAAAGATCTGAACAAGAACCAAAGAATCAGGAGTAGGTATGGATCTTTTACCTGGAAAGAAAGTCGGTTAATGAGATCGCTAGCTGTTATATCGATATTGGAATCATCTTGGTCGTGACCGTAAAAATCAGCGCTTGAGATAGATGCTGAGCCCTGTAATTTCCCACATTGGCGGCATTAGAAGAGAAAGATGAGAAATGTTCCTTTGAAATTGTGGTGAATGTTGTTACTTACTGCAAACTTTTGAAGAGTAGCTTTTGATTCCATATCAGCGTTTTTGTTCTGATCCCCAAAGTACTGAGCTGAAGATATGGACTTTGCGTTTGTGAACTTCTTTCTTGCTTCATCTGATTCTTCAACCTAGTTAGAAACAAAAAATGGTTTAGCTGAGGGTTGAAATTTCGATTTACTAATTTTCTTACTGAGAACCATGGCTTTACTTGAGATTTTGACGAGTTGGAGCTTGATTTCTTGGGAAAAGAACTCTCCATTCCAAAATCCGAAAAGAAGCTTGACGACTTTGGTGGAGCAACATGGTTAAGCACTTGTGTACCACCAATGCTTTGTCCTCCAGATTGCAAGTCGTCATTGTACTCAAACCGAGAGGCAAATGATGAACCAGCTGATGATTTGCTTTCCCCGTTATTTGTTAATGATGCAGCGGGAATAACCGGTGCAACTTGTTCCGGTTTTTGCTCATAGAGATTGTCCTTTGGCTACATTTTACCAAAAACAAAATCCAATCTTTTAATCTAAACAAGTGAAAATAAAAATTCAATGCTCCAAGAAACAGCCCAAGACTTACCTTAGTAGTAAGCTTCCTCGCACCAAGACCACCAGTTTTGCCTGTCCTTTTAGCACCGATAGGTTTCTTAAACGTACTAGGCACAACTGTATTAGAAGCTTTAGGCGAAGAAGTGGCACTGGCACCTTCATATTTAGGAGGAGGTAACTCTTCCTTGACAGAATAAGAAGAACCCCCATTAGATACTTCCGGTAGCTGAGAAGTAGCAACTGGAGATGACAGTAAACCAGAATTCGTCTCTTCTGCAATCGCTTTAGCAACTTCTTTAGCAAGAATCTGCCTATACAAATCAGCAGCTCTTGAAGTATACTTTGCTTCAATTTTGCCACCATCAGTCCATCCATGCTGCTTGAAAAACACCTGAGCGCGGTTGTTGCCACCAAACATCATTGTCCTAAGCTGCTCAGGGCTCCACGAGTCTAAATTCGTTGATCTATACAAAAACAAAAAATTGCAGCATCATCAGAACGTAATGTGGCATTATTGAATCCAATAACACAAAGAACCAATTTGAAAAATCGTAAAGCAGTCAATGGATCGATAATTTGAATCAGTCTAATTTCAATAAACTAGTGGAATTAAAGTCAACAATGCTTAACCCAAGCTGATCTTAAAACACTAAAGTCAACGTAATGCAACACATTTAGAACTAATAACCTTATCAAGGCCTCGAAAGCTTAAACCTTTAGCCAAAATCTAAGCTAGAGTAATGCCGAAGAATTGGATCAGATGATGAATTGATTACCTGACGAAGCTGATATGAACACCGAGATTCCGATGAGTAGCTGAACAATCGATGCAGAGGAAAATCCCATAAGTAACCGATGCCCAAGTTGGATTCTTCGCACTACAATCGAAGCAGACCTAAATTGGCAAAATCAAAACCAAAATTGGCATAAACGAATCGAAGATCTAGTTGAAAAACTCTCAGATCTAAGATACACAATATCAAAATTGACGATACTCTAAGAACAAATTTTGTATAAGAGAGTAAAGAATTCAGAAAAAAATTGATACCTTGTTCTCAGATTTTGATTTGAGTTTTCTGAAAACAATGTTTTTGTCGGTAAGATTGTTGTCAGCAGAAGAAGCCATTGTTGATCAAATTGAAGGATTTCTAAAGAAAATTTTCGCGAGAAAACAAAATCTGAAGATGTGAACGAACAATGGATCACAAATTTGAAAGAAATGAAGATTTTTTATTTAATCTGGAAAAAAAAAAAACAGTACTAACATTTAGGCCTGGGCAAAATACCCGGAACCGAATACCCGAACCGAAAAACCCGAACAATATCCGAACCTAACCCGAACCCGATTTTTAAAAATACCCGAATGGGTCCTAACCTCCTACCCGAAAAAAACCCGAACCGAATCTAATACCCGAATGTACCCGAATACAAATATACACCTAAAAATATTAGTTATTTTTATATTTATAATACCCGAAATACCTAAAATTACAATCATAAATCCGAATATATTTGGTATTTTAGATATTTTTGGTTATATTTGGGTAAAGAGTAACCAATGTATTTTCGAGAAATCGGGTATTTCGGTTAGATTTGGGTATATATGAGTTAAAAACCCGAACCCGATCCGAACCCGAAAATATTCCGGGTATTTTTGGTTATTTTTGGGTATTTTGCTTTTTTATTAAAATACCCGAACCGACCCGAATCCGAACCGAACCAGAACCAAATTTTTAGAATACTCGAATGGGTCTTGACCTCCTACCCGAATAGATCCGATACCCGGAAAAAAGAACCGAACTCGAACGGGTACCCGAATGTCCAGGCCTAATAACATTGATGGCAACATTTGATCTGACTAGACTGACGAAAATACCCTTATATACTCTAAGAATTACGAAAGTGGCATATTTAAGAAACGACACGTGTAGTGTGTAAATTCCGTTTCTGAAGCAACATGGATGATAAACGGGCGATAGCTTATCATTTTCACCTTTTCTTTAACCTCATTTCAAAGATTACTTGCTAATTTGTGTAATCTTGTGTTAACATTTTTCGTTTTAATATTATGTTTATCATATAGTTTACTAGTACAGTATGTATAGTATTTTTTATTCCAATACCTGAACTTTACATTTATTAGTAAATTGAAAATTCTAAAAATGAAATAAAAATACGACTTTTGCTTTCTTTCCATAAGCATGTCTCATATTGTATGCTCAATGTTTCGTTATTCGCCCACACGAGTGTGGTCTAGTGATAAGAAAAAATTGGGGAAATGTTTGAAGAAAATAACCCAGGTTCGAACTATTCTGAAAACAAAAATCGCATTTGTGTGAGAAGTCTGAGCTTGGGTTTTGGCCCAAGAAATTCACATGGTATCCAGGATTAGGCTAACTGGATACTTCGGGCATTAGTCGGAAAGCATTCCAAACTCGAGGTTAGACAGTGTAGTAGTCTAACACCTAGTTGTTGGCGACGAGTCTACATAGTAGCACTTTAGTGCGTTCCTCCAAAACTGACCGGATCGGCCGATTAGGTATATAAAAAAAAATGTCTCGCTATTCTTGTTGTTTCACATTGAGCATACCATAAATCAAATTATAAATCTTTGGGGACTAGTTTTATTAATGAGCCAAAATGTGTGAGGCCCAATATAAGTAATAAAGCCCAGGCTAATTTGTTTTGTATGCTTTTATGCGATTCCAAAATGTCACTGTACAGTGACACTATGGTTTCGTCGGATATGAATATAGAGAGACCAACATTTTTGGGCATTTGCTCTGACTGAAAAAGAAAGCATATTATGAAATCTGACCAATAAAAAAACAAGAGACCCACCCACCATAATGTGATATTTTTGTGAGGTCGTCTAATTTTCATAATTTAATTCTTTTTTTTTTTTTGGTAAAAATTTAATTCTAATTTTGTTTTAAACTTTTAATACTAGACCTTTTATTTTGCCTTTATGCTCTTACGTCTCTTTCGCCTTTGTTATCGAAATCACCCATGTCTTTTTATTGTTCTTTATCATGCAAAAAGTTGTGTCCAATAACGAAGCCAACAAAAATATGTTTTTTAAAAAATGTTTAACTACAATATTTGCATTATAGGTTTTGTGTATAAAAGTTGTATCCAAATCTTTGGTGTTAACACTACCTTAATCCCTTTAATCATAATTTTTATGCCTCCAATAATAACCAACTGAAATTTAGCAAACTCACATATTTATATTAATTTTTTCGCCGTTTTTATTATATTGTGATAGTGTGAATCGACCCCTATTGTTTAAATATTCCAAAGAAATTAATTGATACTTGCTTGTAAGAATTACATGATGGATTAATCACAAGAAAAGCAGACATTGACATCAACACCAAAAGTGAGGGAGACAAGATCATTATTTTAAGTGAAAAATCATTTTCATTCTTTAATTTTTCCTAATTATCACTATTATATAAAAAGGACAACGTTGATTTAAAATGCTCCTTGACAAATTTGATCCAATACTCTTTCATAGATTAGTAAAAAAAATTTAAAGAAATGATATAACAATTACTAATCAGAAAATTTGAGTGAATGACTTAAATTTATGTTATCTTGAAATAAGCATTTCGAACCTCAGTGAAGTAGTTATCAGCGCTTCTAAGCCGCTAGTTTAGTTTGGTTGTGGCCTTGTGGGTTTCGTTATTATCCGTCCATCCTTTGTCTTTCCTCTCGTTCTTTGTTTTTTTTTGTCTTAGTCTTCCATTCATGTTGGATTCGTTCTCTTTTAAATATAAGTTATGTTTTGTTTGAATGTTATGGTAGTTATATAAGTTTATAGAGTTTTTTTTTTATCTTTAGTTTTGTTCGTTGTGGATGATAGCGGTCTTGTTCCATCGTCGTTTTCGTCTTTGAGATTGGTGTTTTTCAAGAAGTTAAGCTTCGTTCCTTATCCTTGATTTCATGATCTGTTTAGATGTGATCGCGTTATAGTTAAATGTAGTGGGCACATCTAGTTAGTTACTAGTCGTCGCATTCAGAAGCGTGTTCGAGTTATTTGTCGGGTTATGAAATCATTGGATTTTGGTTTCGGGAGATTAGTTCACATCGTGATATGAGGTGGTTAATGTTATTTTCGGGTTAAGCGTAAACATTTTTGGTAAATCTCATCCGACATCAAAAGAAGAGGTTTTTTTTTTCTTTTGGATTTATTGTTTTCTTAATATTCTAGCTTGGTTGCTTTTGTTTTTTAGTTTTAAGGTTCTAACTTTTTTCAATTTTGCTATGAATTTTTTGTATTTCTAATATTATGATTATTTCTTCCATAAATTCTAGATTCTAAAAAAATCTCTTTTTCTTTCGGTTTTGACTTTGAAAACTTTTACTTCGTCTATCAGTTTAAGTTTCTCTTGTTTAGACAATGTACTATACCGTGATTTTACAACAAATTGCATTAATAAAATTTCAGGTGATAAAAAAAAAATCTCCATGAAAAACGTCCTCAGAACTAATAACTAAAAAAATAGTTCATATTTGGTGAAAATAAAAGTATTTATTTTTCTTTGATTAAAGTTTTTACAGATTTTTTTTAAAAAAAATTATGAATAAATACACATTCCCTTTTCCCCAACAATCAAACCAAACATCAATATTTGCTTTAAAAACTTACTTCTCTCCTCTGTCCTCACCGGAAAAACAAAAAAAAAGTCTTCTCTTTTTAACTCCATCGGAGAAGTGTTATTATGTCTCCGACGAATGTTCAATTAACCGATTACCATCTCAACCAATCAACCAACGGTACAACAAATCTCTGGTCAACCGACGACGATGCATCGGTAATGGAAGCTTTCATCGGCGGCTCCGATCATTCTTCTCTTTTTCCTCCACTTCCTCCTCCTCCTCCACCTCCGGTCAACGAAGATAATCTCCAGCAACGACTCCAAGCTTTAATCGAAGGAGCAAACGAGAGCTGGACTTACGCCGTGTTCTGGCAATCATCTCACGATTTCGCCGGAGAAGACGACGGAGTAAGAACCAACAACAACAACACAACCTTGTTAGGTTGGGGTGATGGTTATTACAAAGGAGAAGAAGAGAAATCTAGAAAGAAGAAATCAAATCCAGCTTCTGCAGCTGAACAAGAGCATCGTAAGAGAGTGATACGAGAACTCAACTCTTTAATCTCCGGTGGTGGTGGAGGAGGAGGAGATGAAGCTGGAGATGAAGAAGTTACAGATACTGAATGGTTCTTCTTGGTTTCAATGACACAGAGCTTTGTCAATGGTATTGGTTTACCTGGTCAAGCTTTCTCAAATTCGAACACGATTTGGCTTTCTGGGTCTAATGCTTTAGCTGGATCAAGTTGTGAGAGAGCTCGTCAAGGTCAGATTTATGGGTTACAAACAATGGTGTGTGTAGCGACTGGGAACGGTGTCGTTGAGCTTGGTTCGTCGGAGATTATACATCAAAGTTCAGATCTTGTTGATAAAGTTGACACCTTTTTCAACGGTGGTGGTGAGTCTGGTTCTTGGGCGTTTAATTTGAATCCAGATCAAGGAGAGAATGATCCAGGTTTGTGGATTAGTGAACCTAATAACAATGGAGATGAATCTGGTCTTGTAGCTGCTCCGGTGATGATGAATAATGGTGGTAATGACTCTACTTCTAATTCTGATTCTCAACCAATTTCGAAGCTTTGTAATGGAAGCTCTGTGGAAAACCAAGTTTTGAAATCTGGTGAAATGGTGAGAGTTAAGAACGGGATGGAGAATGGATTCTCTGGTCAAAGCCGGTTTATGGAAGAAGATAAGAGATCTCCGGTTTCGAATAATGAAGAAGGGATGCTTTCTTTTACCTCTGTTCTTCCACGGCCTGCGAAATCCGGCGACTCGAATCACTCTGATCTTGAAGCTTCTGTGGCTAAAGAAGCTGAGAGTAATAGATTTGTGGTTGAACCGGAGAAGAAACCGAGGAAACGAGGGAGAAAACCGGCGAATGGAAGAGAAGAGCCTTTGAATCATGTAGAGGCAGAGAGACAGAGAAGAGAGAAGTTGAATCAGAGATTCTATTCATTAAGAGCTGTGGTTCCTAATGTCTCTAAGATGGATAAAGCTTCTCTTTTAGGAGACGCGATTTCGTATATCAATGAGCTTAAGTCTAAGCTGCAAAAGGCTGAATCTGATAAAGAAGAGTTGCAGAAGCAGTTTGATGGGATGATCAAAGAGGCGGGGAATTCG